TGCTGACAAGGAAGCAGAAAGCCCTTGGGCAAGTGGGGCACACACACAATCACCCCGCACTCCTGTGAGGAGCAGCTGTGGCCCATTGTACAGGTTGAGACTATTGCAACACAGAGAGGGCACACAGCAGTAAAAGGGCAGAGCTAAAAATGGCACCCTGGGCTGCCCACAGCCTGTGTCTCCTTTACCTGTGACCTCTGGGTAAGCAGCCACTCATCCTGTGGTTATTTGTTCTGATGGGCTTCACCTTTCCCCCACTCCCCACCCCCACTCCCAGGGGACTGGGGTCCAGTCATTGCACCAATTCTCTGGGCAGCTGCTCTCCTAGTCTCATGGTCCCTCCCAGCTGGTATCCTTGGTGGAGTCCCGCTGCATTGAGGCGAGGGCCTTGTGTGGAGAACGCCCAGCCTCCCCTCGCCCTTGTCTGTGGCTCAGATTATCAAGTGCTATTACTTTTTCTGGGCCTGGCTTCTGCCGCCTGCCTTCTCTGGCAGATTTTCTTTTACGGGGAAAGAAACTGATTCAGGGTCTGCAAACTGGCAGACTTCCTGCATTTGTTCTGTGAGACGTGGCTCTGCCCCAGTGCCACCTGGTGCAAGTCCCTGATGCTACCCCACCTCTGTAGCAGCCTCTCTCATCCCCTTAGCTCCCTCCTTAACCCGTAGCCAAACACCTGCTCTGCCCCTCACATACTGTGTGTTATATAACATGTGAAAATGCATCAGCTATCAATAGGGCTTCTTTAATAAAGTGCCCAAAAAGGAGATATAGTGGAACATAGACTGTATAGACTGCAAGCAAGGCTCTCTGTGCTCTAAGAATGTGGGTGACCACCACCCCAAGTCTCCAAGACAGTCCTTGGCAAAATGGAGCAATTGGTCACCTGCTGTGACATAATCTTCCACCACCAATCTGAATTCACCGGATTTGAGTGTTTTCCAAGTTTTTGAACCCGGTATCAGTGTTGTTTGTCTGAGCGCTTAGAGCTACCACAGGGAATCCAGTGGAGACTGCTCAGAGTGGGCCTGTTGGCATTCACCATGTTTCCTCCATGGAAGTGGGAGGTGGTGACCCATCCTCTCCCCTGAATCCTATTAGGTTCTGTGTAGTGGGGTCACATGAATGTCTTGAGGTCTAAAAGGCCTTTATTTCACACAGGGCCCCAAGGTATCATGGCCAATTGTGTTTTATTCCCTAATTATTTTACCTACCTCCCATTAGCGGCTTGGGTCTAGTCAGGGCTTGTTACATCCCAGTTCCAAGTGGGTGATGTGCAACACCCTGAACTGCCTGTCCTGATTAAAGACACATTCCCTCCTAGTGCTGAGGAGCAGAAAGGGACTGCAGCCACAGAAAAGCTTGGCAGGAGTGAGGAACTGGGGCTGGGGGAGTGCTGGGGGGAGCAGCACCTCTCCCTGACTCAGCAGGTCTCCGAGGGACAGGCACCCTGACCTCCTCAGGGTGGCGCCTCGCTCTGCGTGTTTATTTTAACGCTTCTTCCCTCACCTGGCCAGGATAAGGTGGGGATGGGATGTGAAGGGAGGAGGGGCAGGTGGAGCGGCTCCAGGACTTGTTGGACATCCAGAAAGGACCCATCACAAAAGGCTGGCTGCCTGGGGTGGCGAGTGACCCTGCTGCCAGTTGGGGAAGCCAGTTCAGCAGCTGGGACCTCCTCGTTGGAAGATTCCTTCCAAACTTGCTTCATTTGGCAGCCAAGCCTCATTCCATCTCTGCTCAGCACACAGTTCCGGTCACTGCACACACATGCGCATGTGCTCACCCCTGCCTACGTACATAATGCTCACACATGCAATTACACATGTATGCAGACCCATGTCTGTCTGCTGTGGTGGAAACAACACCTCTTTTGTCTTCCAAACATTCATAAAGCACCGTGAGGCGGAGACCTACAGTAAAATAAGCAGGAGAGGAAGTAGGGGTGTCCATGGAGGAGGAAGTCGAGGTGTCCATGGAGAAGCAAGTCGGGGTGTCCGTGGAGAAGGAAGTCGGGGTGTCCACGGAGAACAACACCGTGACACATCACCAGCTGTGTGACAAAGGTGCGACGTGGCCACAGGCAGTGGTCCCTGCCTCACACCAGATGGACCGAGGCAGGGCCTGCACAGACCTCCATCCCTGCTTCCCCTGTGCTGAGGCCCACCCTACACACCTGGGTATCCGCTCCTCCGATTAGGACCCCTGCACATCCACCTCCACTGTCAGGTCACCCTTCAGCACAGACCAGGCCTGTGTCTTCCATCAAGGCTAGTTCACTGGCCCCACCTCTCCTTCCCAGGTATGACCTGGCCTCCTCCAGATGCACCTGATCCCAAGACCTGTTTCCAATTCACTCTCAAACACCAGTGTGGCTTGCCTTTGTCCAAAATCAAACCAAAACCAAAACTTAGCAAAACAACAGATTCTTTACCTGAAAATGGTCACAACCTTGTCAAATCTGATACTTTCAGTCCTGCTTTTACTGAGCACATTTGAAAGAATACGCATCTGTCCCCACCAAGGAAAAAAAATGAAAAGAAAACAGCTGTGATCTTGGCTTGCTGTCCACCTCAGGTCTCGCAGTGTCTTCCTGCCCGACCAGGCTTAACACTGCCACTCCCTATGGGTCCTGAGCCTGTGTCCCTCCCCCTCTGCCCCTCTCTTGAGGGACCTGCCCCTCCGCAGCCCTCCTCCTCCATATCCAGACTCCCAACGGTCCTGCTAACTCGGCTCACCTCGCAGGAGCTACAGGTACACAAACTGCTATCCCACCCTGGGACCGAATCCACTTCCCTCCAGCACATTCTTCATCTAGTGCTGACTGCAGTGTAATTTGATGGTGCCATCTAATTCCTTAAATTTTAACTAATTTCCTGTTGGATTTAAGATTTTTTTAAAAATCCATACTCTTTATCGAGTCCTGAATCTGCAACACACAATCTGCCTTTAGTCCATTTCCCACAACTGTGTTTTCCTCCTATCCACCATTCCCTGTGTTTTGGTTACGTATAGTTTTTCATGTTTTACACATGAAATTATTTTCATCACAGGGTTTTCATGCACTCTGTTCCCTTGCCTGGATGTCTTCACGGGCAGTTTCCCTCTCTCCATCATTGTTTCATTGAGAGAGGCCATCAGTGAGAGGGATGTGGTTCAGGGAGGGTGACTTCGCATGCTCCTGGGAAGCTACGTCCGCCTAGAAAAAGGATACAGATGCTGAGAAGGGGGGTCACTCAATGGTGGATGGAGGGACGTGAGGAGGCAGGAGGTGGACTGAGGGCCCCGGTGGAGGGTGCACCTTGCATGAGAGCCCAGGCATGTGTTTGGTTGGACAAAGGGGACAGAGGAACAGTGGGTGTGGGAAGTGTGTCCCAAGAATGAAAGATAAGATCATTCATAACCCACACTGGTGTGACCCTGGGATCCAGGGAGCTACACATTAACCAGGAACTCGGTTCTGAAAACAGTCTCTGGTTTTTTTTTTGTTTGTTTGTTTGTTTGTTTTGTTTTTTGTATAATCCATTCGGTGGCATTTTTCGAACCATTAGTTATAGCATTATGTTGCCCTGAACACTACAGATAACTTGTTTTCGTGCTAAACTGTAGTTTTCATTAAGTGACTGAAGGAATTGTTACTACTTCCTTCTTAGCTGGCCACAGTCGTGGAAACCAGCAGTGAGGCCCGGGAGGTGCACCTGCTCTGGGGGTGGCCTTGGCAGCTGGTGGCAGCTGCTGCGGCCGCAGAACGGCTGAGAAAGCCACTTACTTTCTGCGCCGCAGCTTTGTCACCTGTGAACTGAGGGTGTGGACGTGGCCCTGATGCCCTCCCGTCGTTCAGTCGGTGCTCTTGGACCTGTGTGCTTCTATTGCACAGATCTAAACAGAAGGAAAATAGACTGACTGCTAGTCACTCTCTTTAATACAGAGGTTTTCTGAAACAAAGGCTCAGACCTACAGACCATCATTTCAGCTATTTCCTAAGCAGATGCCGATCCTGTTTCTCAGCACCAGGGAGAAGACAGGCACTCCGACTGTGACGGGTCACCCTGCAGGAGCTCGGTGCTGGCATAGCTCCGTGCTCCCGGGGAACGGGCTCTCCCAGCTCCCAGGTCTATCCATCTCTAGAATGAAAGCCTACAAGGTCCTCTCCCAGTGACATCATTCCAGGCCCTGAACCCAAGCCAGTGCTTTGGCCTTCGCTCCCTGGGTGTGACAGAGCAGTCAGTGCAGAAGGCACTCTGGTCTTGAGCATAAAGAACATGAGTGCTCCCTCGTGTCCCTGCAGATCCTGAACCTCACCTGTAGAGGGATGGATTTGGCACCACCGTGGACCCATCAGGAAGCCTCTGGCCAAAGTTTGGTGCAGGCGGCATTCTTCCTCACAAGTGAGGGGTTTTCCAAACCAGCCAGCAGGGTCCGGTCACAAAGGCGACTGTACATCTTGTGCTCATTAGAGGCTGTGCTTCTGAGAGGTTTCATGCTCAGATACTCTGCAGCTGCCTGATCAGACAGGAGCAGGTGCTGGAGCAGGAATAGACTTTCCGCCTCCTGTGTAGCAGTGGGTTTTAGACAAACCTGGTGCAGCAGAGTGGCACTGGAACACAGCCCGCTGCTCCCAGGCCCTGGGCTCTTAAGCCTCCTCCTGAGGTGTGGGCGCTGCGGTGGCTGGGTGCACACACACACCCTTCTCTGTTGCAGGTGCATTTTTGTCAGGAAACGTTCTTGTTTGGAGTGGGCTGTGTGGCAGGGCCCCTAACACCGCAGGCAGCTGACCATGGGAGAAGGACCCAGAAGTAGAGCTGGCATGAGGTGCATCCTGAATGGAACTGGACTCCCTGCGACCTCCCAGCCCAAGCCAGCACACAGGGTGAGTTATACTCCCTCCCCTGCCTGCCTGACAGCAGTGTTGGCATGTGCTCAATGTGTCTTCTTGCCCAGAACACAGTGACAGGTGTGTAGCCCAGAGATTAGGTGTGGGCTGCAAGGAGGTGTTTGGAATGTGCACATCTTGGCCTTTTGTTAACTATTGTTGAGAAAAATTACAAATTGACAAATGCATCAGACTTTCTAAAGATGTTCTGTCCTTTTTAACCATGGCCACTTCCCATTCACCTAAAGTTAATGGTGAGCCACAGAAAGATCGTATTCTGCCAGATGTCCCTGAGGTGATGGGGAACGTCCGAGGTTCTCCAGCCCTGAGGTCCTTGCTCACCTGGGGGCTTTGCTCACCTGGGGTCCATGCTCACCTGGGGGCTGTGCTCACCTGGGGCCCAGCACCCTGGAGGTGCACTGGCCTCACCGGCTCAGTAGCCTGCCCCAGAGCCTACTCAGTACTGCTCGGGGCTCCTCTGACAAATCTTGTTTGTTCCCCTCTTATTTTCTCTTTATTTTCATTTTTTAAACACATGTCATTTTATATAAAATTATCTACAGAAACCTAAACATGAAAGCCTTTCAAGTAACGTGAGCATTTCCTGCTCTGAGGTTTACTGGTGTGGATGTTGGGGCAGCGTCAGCACCCTCAGGCAGCCTGACCTGGCCTGGGTCATCCAGCAGGGGGTCACAGGGGCACTGAGCAGTCATATGCAAATCTGTGGAGGTTCTGACCCATTGAATCGGCCTGTGCACTTGGTAGGTTAGTAAATCCTTCCATGTGCTGGGTGGCATTCACTTCTGGAAAACCAGTCTGTGCAGAGAGAGACAGAGTGGCCTTTGGGACCAGGCAGATTTGGGTTCAAATTCTTCTTTCTCTGACACATTAGGTTTCAACCCAAGCAGCTGCACTGTGTCTCCATACCTCAGTCCCTCAATCCATTCTGAGTTTATTTTTGTGCATAGTGTGAGAAAGTTATTAGCCTCATTTCGTTTACATATACCTGCTCCAGTTTTCCCGACACTGTTTATGGAGGGGCCTGTCTTTAACCCACTGTGGGCTCCTGCTGTTTCTGTCTCAGACTAATTGACTGTGTGGGTGTGGTTTATCTCTGGGCTCTCTGCTCTGTTCCATTGGCCCACTGTCTGCTTTTTGGACCGGTGTTTGGCTGTTTGGATTTTGAGAGTTTGTCAGTATAGTTGGATATCAGGGAGTGTAATACCTCCAGTTTTGTTCTTCTTCCTCAAGACTCCAGGGCTTTGGTTGGGGAGCCACGGGGTTTCTGACATCATTTCCTGCCTTACCATCTTGCTGAGTGGGTCTCTGCCCATCCCAAAAGATGCCCACAAGGACAGTCTCTCTTTGGCACCTCACCACCTGCAAGGAAAACCCTGTGAGAACACGCCCCTGGCCTCTGGGTGCACACCCCGCTCGGAACTCTGGATGCTGCAATTCTGACTTGCCAAACAGCTTAGCAAACACGGTCCTCAAATCCTGATCACGTCAGCCTGACTTGTCCCAGCCTGAGCCCTGCCTCTCACCTCCAGGACATGTCCTAGAATTGCCTCAGGGGTCACTCAGGGAACCGCGGCCCGTGTACCAGCCTGGCCTGCTCAGGGCTGAGTCACTGCTTATTTGCTACTGTTTTACTCGTTCCCTACTTTGAAAGCCCAGGAGTCCTTCACAACAGCCTCTGGCCAGAGGGCGCCCAGTCCTGAGGCCCATTTGCAACATGTTCTGCTCTTCATTCTGTTTAGACCTCAAAGCTTTAAGCTGCCGGATAAAGGCCCTCCAGGGATTAAAGTAAACCTCTCAGTAAAAAAATATACCATTTATAATTTGCATGTTGCTTATTTTTATATAATTTGGATTTGGGGTTCCATTTATGGTTCAGACAGATTGGCCCCCCTCATCTCTGTAATCTATTTCCCTGTTAACAATTTATTATCTGTCCATCCATCCACCCATTCTGACAGACTATCTGATCCTCCTGTTAGAATGTGAACTCTTCGTGGCAAGCAGCTGTGGATGCCCAGTCCCCATGCAGACCCCGCTCCACAGCAAAGGCTTGTCCTTAACTGAAGTCACCGTTGCTGCAAGACCACTGGGTGGACAGCAAGATGGGTGAGGAGATGCTGTAACTTCGTGTTCTGGCCCTGGTAGTGAAGTGTCCTACTCAGGCTCAAAATTGTATCCCACAGGCCAAGACCCAGTTCTTTCCTGATCTGCTCCTGTAGTTCAAGTTCCAACTTGCTAAGGAAATTCATATTTTATTTAGAATTAAAGGTGAATAGTTATTAACAGATTATTCTCCCCTTTAAAAGCATCTCACTTTAATATTGATTTTCAAGGAGACAACACCAAGATGATGCTCAGCTGTACGTCTTGAGGCCGTGCAGCAGAGATAATGGACATGCTGGTAGGAGCACCTTTCCTGGTGTTTCTGTGCTTTCTCCCCATCAGTGACTCCCTCCTGCTTCTGCAACCAGAGTTTAAGCTTCTGGCCATGAACTCAATGTCCCTCTTACTTGATATTTGTAACATGGAACCCTAAACTAGAATGTAGGTCTATTTATTTCATCACTAAAGAATGCAAGCAGCTCTAGCTAGTGTGGTTCAGTGATAGAGCATCGTCCTGTGGACTGAAGGGTCCCAGGTTCGATTCCAGTCAAAGGCATATGCCTGGGTTGTGGGATCCATCCCCAATAGTGGGCGTGTAGGAGGCAGCCAATCAGTGATTCTCATCATTGATGTTTCTCTCTCTCCCTTCCTCTATGAAATCAATTAAAAATGTTTTTAAGAAATGCAAGCAAAATTCCCACACCAAGACACTGTACATCACCTCACTGCTTCTTGTGTTACTGAATTTTCAAAACCGGTAACTGAAAGGTAAGAACATCTTTCCCCGAAGGCAGAAAAGAAAACTGCGTTCAGCCCACACCTCCTACGGGGCCCACACCTCCTACGGGGCCCACACCTCCTACGGGGCCCACACCTCCTACGGGGCCCACACCTCCTACGGGGCCCACACCTCCTACGGGGCCCACACCTCCTACGGGGCCCACAACTCCTACGGGGCCCACACCTCCTACGGGGCCCACACCTCCTACGGGGCCCACACCTCCTATGGGGCCCACACCTCCTACGGGGCTCACACCTCCTACGGGGCCCACACCTCCTACGGGGTCCACACCTCCTACGGGGCCCACACCTCCTACGGGGCCCACACCTCCTACGGGGCTCACACCTCCTATGGGGCCCACACCTCCTACGGGGCCCACACCTCCTACGGGGCCCACACCTCCTACGGGGCCCACACCTCCTACGGGGCTCACACCTCCTATGGGGCCCACACCTCCTACGGGGCCCACACCTCCTACAGGGCCCACACCTCCTACAGGGCTCACACCTCCTATGGGGTCCACACAGCTAAATGGAGTTTTGCAGCACCCAGGACTTGGCTGTGGTCTTCATGGAAATAAGAGTGATCTACTTATTCTCCTCAAGAATGCCTGTCTTTGGATGCCTGTATACGGCAGGTTTGGGCATAAACTACACCCAGGTCAGCAACTTGATTAGTAGGTTTGATGCCCAATCCCACCAACTCTAAGCCAAGTGGCCACCAAGAACACACTTCAGTCTTAAGTTAAGTAATGCAAAAGGTTACAAACTGTGCTGGCTGTGTTATCTGTGCTCATTCTCCAGTGATGGTATTAATAAAACACAGAGATAAATTATTTTCAAGCAAAAGACTGATGAAACACTGAAAGAAAAATAACATCCCAAGTATTCAAAACCTTTTACCGCATTCCATCCTCAGGAAGAACTAGAGCATGATGTTCACTCTTTTTCGTCTCACGGCACATAAACTAATTAGCAAAGTGCTGCACACACCAATATCTATATTTTTGGCTAATCTGAAAAAAAAAGGTGTTATTTTGATTCATTCAATTCATTCCTAATTTTCTCAAAGTCGCTCAGCAAATTGGGGATGGCTATTGTTGTATTGGCTGTTGTTTTTTTGTTTTGTTTTATTTTGTTGTTGTTTTCACAATCTGAGGGAAAAGAGGCCAGTGCCCCTCAGTAAACAGTCAGGTATGTTTTACAAATTCTTCTGGCACACGGGTCATAAATTGCTGATAGGGCCTTCCATGCTATGGGACTCGAGATGTCACTTCTCTCCTCATTTGTACTGGTAACGTGACGAGTTACAGTCAAGAAGAAAGGAAGGAAAGAGATGGGAAGTGACCACGGACAGACACTTGCTGATTATCTCCACAAGGTTCACGTTCATAAATTAATAATAATAAAAGATAAAAAATACTTTATTTCTTTAGTAGAGAATATACACTATTGTACTCCCCTTGCAAGAAGCATATAGGAGAAATTGTTTAGAAAACGCAGTAACGTCTGGTATAATGCTTTATGGTCCCACCGGCCCCACTGCCACCACACTCAACAAGCATCTGCGGAAAAGGGTAGTGATCAGTACAGCCTTCCTGTCACTCCAGGGCCCGTGACCACAGTTCACAGACCAGAAACCAATGTTTGGGACAAGGATCTGTTCCCCTCACACATGGACCCTCCTGTCAGCTTGCTGGGAGCCTACACCCACCTCTTAATGAGACAAGACAGGCCCTGATCCTCACGTCTCCCACAGTTTTTCCTCTCCATTGTGTTTAATAGGTTATTCTATATGCCGTTCTTTCATGGACAAAGGAAACTGAGCTGCCACAGTAACTACTGCTCATTCTTTTTAAAAGCAATTACAAGCTTTTTCTTCACTCAGATTGAGGTGAAATTTTGGTTTACTCAAAGTCGCTCAGCAAGTTTTGGGTTAGAAAAGGACTTCTCGGCCCCCAGCACACACTCAGCGCAACCCTCATCTACTCCAGAATTCACTCCCAGGGACCCTCCCCCCTGCACCATGCCCCCCATCCCCCCAAGTGCAAATGCTTCTGGAAGATCTTGGTGGTTTTAAAACAGAAACCAATTTTTTTTTTTCAAAAAACGATTTTTTTCATCTATTCTATGGAAGGTGAATCTACACCAGTAACATACACTTGACCTAAGTTTTAGTTCATCCCACTCTGAGTGTAGAAAGGCACAAAGCAATTTTACTTTAAGTCTTTGCATAAAATTCCTGGGACGGCTACGAATGAGCAGATGGGGTGGGGTGCAGAAGATCCCTCAAACACGCTCATCCCTGACACTGTCGTGTTTAACCAAGTGCAGGCCCATGAACAGCAGTGTTTCAGAGGAATGACTGGAGGGTGGGGGGCAGGGGGGTAGGTGGAGAGAGGATGTGCTGTCTTTCGGCAGAGTCCACACTGAGAAAGGTCCATTGTCCGCTGCACAGCCTCCAATGCAGACCTGGGCTGTGCAAACAGCTGTCTGCCCAGAGCACTTTGCAGAGCAGAAAACACTACTCACAGGCAAAATTGAAATGCAATTAGATAGCAAATATGAAAAGCGAAGCAGAAGAAAGTAGAAGAGGATAGTAAAACTAAAATTACGTGACATGAATAAAACTATTTGGAGACTTGATAACTGTGTAAAAATAAATATTTAAGTAAGTCAAAGACCTACTCTTCTAGTAAAACAATTACAAAAATATAATATCATAGTCAACAAATACACATATATACCAACATGAACTGGTTTAGAACTATTTCACCATTGAAAAACTCATTTCTCTCCCCTCCATATTCTTCTCTCCCATAATCTTCTTCGTGAAGAGAGGCATTTTGATAAAACAACGAGAGCTCTCAAAGACTTGTCAGGTGAAAGTTTTTTCGTCGTCATGGACTCAGATTTCTCTCACAGGGTCTGACCTGAAGGCTATTTCTTTACTCCGGGTGCTGTGAGCCGGCTCAGCATCTGGTCACACCAACTCCGTATTAACAAGGATCTGACCCTTGACTCCCAGCCACCCGGAGGCTGCCCCTCCTGGCAAACGTGCCCTTTGCACAGAGCTGAGCCAGTGCCACCTCCCAACCACGGATGACACACGGCGGGGCGGGGCCTGAGCTGCGGAGCCCAGACCCTGGCTCCTTCCGGGAGATTCCGCACAGCTAGGAACAGGAAAGCTGGTGATGGGACCTGCCTCTCCAAAATGGTCCTGCACAAGAAGAGTACTTCAGCGTATTTCAGCTCTCACTCATCTTTTCATGGCATTTGTGCTTGTCTGCCCCCCAGTGGGAGTGGCGTGAAGGGGAATGACAGAGGAGCCCTCCAGGGACTGGAAACATGCTGAGTCATTAAAGCAGCCACCAATGCCTGGTGCACACACCGCAGGATGCTGAGACGTGTGCATCAGGTGTGAGCCCCCGGGGCAGAGACACCGACTTGGGTTCCAGAACTTGGGATTCAGAGAACTGAAAGCAGTATGGCAGGCTTGGTTTTCACACTCTTTTGGCTTTTTAAGTAAACTGAGACATTGTTAAAATGCCTCCCAGCAAACAAGTCAGAAAGATGCCCTGAAAGTGTTTACTCTGGAGGCCAGAGTGGGTCCACCTCAAACAAGGAAGCATCTCCAGGGGTTTATGCTGTGTCACTCGGCTAATTCTTGATTTCTAAGTTCCAGGGACCCATCTTCTCCTCAGAATCCCCAACCTTCGGGAGTTCTGGAAGCTTCTTCAGTAGAGTTCTTTACTCCTGGAAAAAAACAATCCTGTGGTCACTTGGGTGCACTGGACCAAGCCTGTGGCAGTGATCATGGCCCTGGGGCCCCCAGTCCTCCAGGACATATTTCAAGGAGCCCCATGGTTGGGAAGGCTCCCCCTGAGGAGTAAGAAAAGCTATCAATCAACACCAGTCCAGGCCGACACTGCAAGGCCACACATTATACCCCAGGGCTCCCTGTAGACCTCGGTTCTGTGATATTTGCAGCATTATCTTGTATCACAGAAATGCACACCTGAAACCTGTATGAGCCTATTGACCAATGTCACCCCAACATGTTTAAAAATGCAAACATTTCCTTTTTGCATTTTACATTTAGAAAAGAAGTTGGCAGCCTTAGTAAAGAGCCATCTGGTCTCTCTGTCAGACAAATACCGGTCTTCTTGCGGCCTTTTCCTGGATGTTTGAAATCAGTTTCCCTCCAACTGTTCATGGGCGGTAAAGAAAATGTCTGAATATTGGTAAAGCCAGTATGCACTGTCTCAGAGCTGAAGGACAGAACAGAAAACAAGGCAGGCAGCCCAAATACATACCTGCAGGCAAACAAACCCCACCCTTTCCAAACAAATCTCCCTAAAAGGCCCAGGGCTAACTGAAGACAGGAAGGGGTGCCTCACAGCTACTCAAGGTTGTTCACCTAAAAGGCTCAGCTAGGGACCCAGCTAGGAACCCACCCAGCGGTGGCTCAGCAAAGGAGCAGGAGGCAGGAGTGTGAGTGTGTGTGAGGGTGTGTGTGTGTGTGTTTGTGTGTGTGTGTGTGTGTGTGTCTACACCCCTAGGGCATATGTACAAGTCCTGCCCATCAGGGCTGGGACCCACAGCTTTCCTTTTTTACTGAAGAAGATGTGAAGCGTGCTGGGAAACACTTGAGATTTTTGACTTAAAATTAAACAATGTTTATCCCAAAGGACACGTTACCATTCTCTTACAACAGTATTAAAATCAGTAACATAGATCCAAAGCCACACAGCAGAGACTGAAATTTTGGCAGACCTGCCTTTGCAGCAACTTGAAGGACAGGAAGATGACTAAACGCTAGCAGACACAGAAGCAATTTTCGAGAATTATACACTGGGAAACGGAACACAAAATCGCCCACGTGTAGCTGCCTGTTACGATCTCCATGGGGTCACTGCACATTCTGAGTCATTCCCCAGCTCTGAACTCTACCTTTTGAAAAGTAGACATTTTTACTCCACAGGGGTAATAACCCATCAACTTGTTCTTTAATTCTGGATGCTATATTTTAATTTCAGTTGATAATAATTCCGCTACCTACCATTGGGACAAAAACCTCCAGGCAAACTATATTTGTTTTTATTTTCATTTAGAAAGCAAACCAATTTGATTTTCTGAATTTTTCATGAAATCCAATAATGAATCTGTATGAATGCCAACACAAATGTGCTAATAAACTAGAGAAAAATCTCAGCTTGCATTCCTGCTTCCACAGCTTCCAGAAGTGATGGAATTCGTCTCAAACAAGGTACCCCATGACGATAGGCGGCAGGTCGGCTGCCAGAGGACCCTCGCAGCAGAAGGGGTGGGGCCTGCTCCAAGTCTGCACCCAGCTCTCTCCACTGGACCTTCTTCATGGGAGCGTGCAGGTGTCCATCCAGGGGGCTGTGACCAAAAGCAGATGTCGCCTCGGTCCCAGGGAGCTGGACAGACACTCATTTCCTCCTCCAAACCCTCCAACTACCCAGACGTGGGTCTCCTGGGGTCACGTTCCCAGGACTCCAGCTCTGTTCTGTGAAGCAAATACCTGCAGTGCTGGTGGCTGCTGAGGCGGAGAAAGCTGGGCCCACTCAGTGACTTTCCATTTCTCTGCTCAGATAGTAGGGGACACTGCCCCCCACCCCCACTCAATCATACAGGATCGAGAGAGAGGAAGAGGGTGACCCCATGAACCTCTCTCTGTTCTGCATGGCTTCACTCTCAGCAGTTCCTGTCTGTTCTCTCTGCCTTGACATTAACTGCTCCCATGTCAGGCTGACCACACTTCTAACACTTTCCTAGGCTCAGCCCTAACACAGGGCCTTGGGAAGGTTCCTCACGGACTGCATCCCAACTTCTGCTCAGGATCTGCTTTTATGTTGGAGCCCTGAGCCTGGGTAGGTCTGAGTTCAGAGGGGCCAAAGGGGAGTCTTTTTATGATCCTGTTGTCAAGTTTTGTTTCGGTTTGTCTGTGCATTGCTTGTTCTCAGCACTATTTACCCTCCAGTCCACCTGCCATATGTGCCTAAAGCACAGGGTGGGGCTCTGGAAAGCAGAGGGACCTACTTATAAATGTACATTTTGCATTTCCAATAGATATTGCTGCTTTCTTTTCTTTTTTTTTCTTTTTTTTGGGGGGGGGGTTCCAATCAGGAAACCTGGATACACAGATACCTGACTATACAGATCACAAGGTACAGAGTTGGAGACCCTCCCTCTACCTTCCTTTTATGGACAACAGATACCCTAAGTGCAAGGTGGTAATGGACAGAAGACAGGCCTCCCAGGCCCCAGGTCAGAGCTCTATGCACCTGACCATGTCCCTCTGGGACCACCTGAGCCCCTAAAACTTGCATCCTCCACACCAAGATACTCACAGTGCCTGTATTTCACCTCATTGCCAACAAGAGAGTCTATGAAAAACACAGGAAAACCTTTTTGTGCTTAAATGTTGACTATCTATTTATTAATACACCCACTGGGGGGCTGATGCTAGTGGAAGATAATCTTCAATAAATTATAAGAAGGAACTTAGGTCATGATCCCTCCAGGTCCAAAACAGACAATGACCTCCTCTCTCCTCCATGTTAACGTTCACACCTGAACTAGGGCCATGGCCCCTAGGGACCTTACCCTCAAGTGTCTCTTCCACCCTCACACACAGGGAAGCTGTGACACACACATCTGTGGCGTCTCCCTTAACAGCCTAAACCCTGACACTATGTCCTTAATTAGTTTATATCAAGGACAGACAAAATACTTCCATCACATGATTTTAAAAAAATCATACCAAGTTGTCACTGAAGGATAGAAAAGAAAAAATACTGTAACCTTTAAATTCTTTTTTTTTTAAATATATTTCATTGATTTTTCACAGAGAGGAAGGGAGAGAGATAGAGAGCCAGAAACGTCGATGAGAGAGAAACATCTACCAGCTGCCCCCTGCACACCCCCCACCGGGGACACGCTAGCAACCAAGGCACATGCCCCTGACGGGAATCGAACCCGGGACCCTTCAGTCCACAGACCGACGCTCCACCACTGAGCCAAACCGGCTTCGGCAACCTTTAAATTCTTGGTTCTCATAAGAGAACCCTGAAAAAGTGCGGCCTGCACTCCCTTCTCTGTCCCTGGAAATGCCCCCACATGTGCCAGGAAAGGGGTATAGGTGACTGTGGGGACCAGCACTCCTTAGTTCCTCAGCAGAGAAGAACCAACATCAACCCTGGGCCGGTGTCTCAGGGCAAAAGCAACCTCAGGTGGGGCCTTTAGAGGCGCATGAGCTTATGGAGTCAGGGACACTCGGAGCTCAAAGGCACGGAGATAACCTGGTCCAGCGTTCACCAACAGAAGCTCCTTGTACACGGAGCTGCCCCGGGACAAATCTCTCAAACAGTGTGAAACATATTTAGCCAAAGAGAGCTCTGTCCACTAAATGATGCCTAACTGCCCACAAGGTCCGGCAGGGCCCCCTCCCAGCGCCGGCTGGCCAAGGCCTCCAGGCTGTGCGAGGCCCACCCTCCAGGAAGTCAGCTCTGACTGAACCCCAGGACGCACCCAGCCACGTGGAGCAGGGCTGCGGGCTATTTCCAAGCACAGCAGGGGCACAGCTGTGCTTCCTCTTCCATGGGAATAAGCCAGCCGGCTGGTGCTCCACACAGAATCAGGTTCCAGGCCGTCAGAGGTGGCACAGTCACAGGCAAGGGCGTGGGAGAGGGAACCTGGGCTGTCACGTCGCCCGGACTCCACATCTCACTCTCCGGGTCCCTCCCCACGTCAGAGGCCTGCCCACCGCTCCACGCAGCTCTGCCACCCACGCGGTCCTCAGACGTGCGCGAAGACACTGCGGTGGCTCACCTAGGGGTCCCGGCCTCGGCGCGGAGGTCACGCGGGCCCTGCCGCTGTGGCGCTGGCGTCTCCGCGGCCTTCCTGCAGGTGTACAGCCACTTGATGATGCGCGCGTTCCTCTCCACGACCGAGGGGCCGCTGGGCACCTGCTCCGTCAGCTCCTCCTCCTGCAGCCCCTCGTCGCCGCAGCTGCGCCGCGAGAAGCCGCCCTCGGAGGTGGCGACGCTAACGCTGCGGACCCGGAGGGCGCCCTGGTCCGACCCCGCGGAGAAGTTCTCCCGCCCGAGTGCCTCCACCACTTCGGGCTCCAGCCCGCAGAACTGGAAGAAGGTGTCGAACTCGGCAGCGGACATGGAGTAGCGGGAGCTGAGGTCCGACTGCGAGCGCTGCAGACCCCTGCGCCTGGCCGCCTGCACGTCGCGAGTCCCCGACGCGGCCGGGGCGCTGGGGCGCGCGGGGGAGGTCAGGGGTGCGGCCGGGGGAGCGGCCGGGACGCTGGGGCGCGCCGTCGGGGGAGCAGCCAGGATGATGGGGCACGCAGGGGACATTGGGGGAGCGGCCGGGACGCTGGGACGTGCAGGGGAGAACAGAGGTGCAGCTGGGACGCTGAGGCGCGCCGTCGAGGGAGAGGTCGGGACACTGGGGCGCGCGGGGGACATCAGGGGAGCGGCCAGGGCGCTGGGGCGCGCGGGGGAGATCGGGAGTGCGGCCGGAGGTGCGGCCGGGACGCTGGGGCGCGCGGGACGTGCGGGGGCCGCGGCAGAGCCCGGCTTCGTTGGCGTCACCCCCGCGCCCGCGGCCCTGCCCTTCTCTCCCGCCGGGAACGTCTCCGGGGGCGTCGGCGTCCTGTCCTTACGCGGCCCCGGGAGGAGCTTCTTCGCCAGGCCGCCCTGGAGGCCGTCGGCGCCCGGCCCGCGCGCGAACTCGCACTTCTGCCGGTACATGACCAGCGAGTCCGGCCGCAGCGGCTTCCGCGCTATCGCCCTGCGCGCCACGGCGCCGGGGGCGCAGGCCGGGGGCCGCGGGTCGACCGCCTGTCCTTCGCCCACCGCGGGGCTGCTGCCCTCGGAGGCCGGGCCCCGGGCCGTCGTCGCCGGCAGAGCCCGCACGTACTTGGCGCGGTCGGCCGCCAGCCTCTCCACCGCGCTCCTGCGCGCGGGCGGCGCCGCGTCCGGGGGCCCGGGCAGCAGCCGCTCCATCGGGGGCGCGTCCGGGCTGGGCAGCGCGCGCATCCCACCGCACCGCCGCGGGGCTCCGGCTGCGGAGAGGCCGGGCTGCGGCGCGTTAGTCCGGGGTCGATTCCAAAGTCCGAGCAAGGCAGGCACCGGCGTCCGCACCTGACGCCCAGGCCCGGACACTGCCGAGAGCGAGCCCAGACGAGTGGAGTCGCTCCCGGGCCTGCTCCCGGCTCCTCGCAGCCGGCACTGCCGCCTTCCCAGCCCGGTAGAGGCTCAGCACCCGTCCCGCCCGCTCACCTTCCGCCGCTCCGCTCCGCCCCGCCCCTCCCGCCTGCTCCGCCCTGCCCTGGCCTCGCCTCCCTCCCGCACCTCCAGCCCCGTACCTCCCGCCGCTCTGCTCCGCCCTCCACGCGTCCAGCCCCTGCGCTCCCGGTGCTGGGAGGGCGTGGCAGTCAGGTCCCCGCACCTCCTCCCCCCTGAGAGCCAGGTCAGCGCTGGAGGCCAGGGGGAGGCGGAAGAAAGGGCTGCCCACCCTCCCCAGGCAGGTGTCTCACTTCCTTTGAACTGTTAAGGTTGACCTCAGGGTGTTTGGAAACTTGACTTTAGTTTCCCAAGTTTCTACTTGAGCACAGATATTTATTATCAGAAAAGAAACCGACAGAAAGGAAAGGGGAGGTGCAGAAGAGACTGTCTGTGTTGGGCGGAAAGAACCCAGGAACCACAGGGACCTGGGTCAGGTCCAGCGCAGTTAATGGCCGGCTGTGACCCTGACCCGGATCCGAGTAGGACTCAGAGGGCAGGCGGGCGAGGTCCCTGGATTTGGATGAAGCCCGACCAAATGACAGAATAACTGCTGTTTTTACTATAACCAAGGCAACGGGAAACCACGGGCTCACAAGACAAGTGGAACAGCCCAGGAACGCTGAACGTGTAAGGGAAAATATTTCCAAAATTCCATTATTTCCAAAAGCTGGACATAGAACTAGAAGTATCTGCTGGAGTGCAATGCCCACCTTCTCTCTGTGTTCAGGCCAGCTCCTCTCCCAGCTGTGGCTGCTGCTGCTCCTGGCGGCAGGAGGGAAAGCATCTGAGACCTGTGGACACCAAAGGTGGAGTCATCAGTGCAGCAGCAGAATGAACAGAACCAGGTTTGGCTCACTCAGGGAAGCCCCCTCTCCTCCCCCTCACCACCGACGACCAAACAGCAGCAGGTTTGTGTCAAGGGGACCTTGAGACCTTAACCCCTGTAAGGCCAAACCCCATAGTCAGGGAGGAAGTACAAGAAGCCCGGTCTCCTGAGACCCAAACTAGCCACCTCCACTAATTGGAGCGCATGGGAAGATGGCTGTGTCCTTCAGGTCGACGGCAAGGAGGTGGAGATAAAGTGTGAGCAAACGGAGGTTTACAGTTGTTCATATGGAAAATAATACAACTAAATAGTAGGGCAATAATAGGCTGTTAGTGCAGTTACAACTGTAAAAAAGACATACATTTGTTGAATTATTTCTATATGTCAGAGGCTATATTTTCCACGTATTTCCACAGTGGGAGTCACCACTGTAGCCCAGACTAGTTATTGGAAGATCAGCAATTCTTTTCTCTAGTCTCCTAAACCTGTTTTAATGCAAGCCTATTTCCTCTTACTGATTTCCATACAGCTTTGGAAAAACAGATCAATCTCTCTTTATAACCACCGCCTGCATAACAATGAAAAAGTGCTTCACGTGATAACTGCCTTCCCAGTTTCCTCTGTTCAGGCCTCACCTTCACTCACAAGTTTTCATTCTCTTTCCTAGAAACCACTCCATGGAAGCTTGGAACTTCAACAAGAAATTGAGTAGAGCCTTCCTGGTTCAAGGGGCGCTGAGGCAAGGTTCCTGGAGCCAACAGGCCAGGTTGTTGGGTGTGAGGCCTCGGGGTGCTTAGGCTGACAGGGTGGGCGGGGAAATGCTGGCCCAGGTGGGAGCAAGGCCAAACACAAGATTCCCCAGGAATGTTATGGGGAAGCCAGTCACATGACCAAGTGACACAATTGTGCTCCTTAGCCAGAGCCCTGAGCCCTTCACCTTGAGCTCAATATTTCAAATGCTGATGTTTTCACATTTATGACTTATAATTCTCTACAAAGTTTTGGGGGCTTTGTGCCAACATTTATCTTCAATGAATGTGGTTTCACATCATCTACGGGCATTTCACGTGCTACCTGGAATGATTCTGAGAGGGCAGGTGAGGTTTATGGAACATGAAGAAATAGCATTATCTTGTCCATGGCTGTGCCAAGACATGATGGGCTACTGGGAAAGTATGATTGACATGTATGGTACAGGGAGTATCTAAGAGTGTCACACGCAAGGGACATCACTTCACTCCCCGAATCAAAGGGACAAGGAAGTTCCCCAGACCACTTACTAAGAATTGGGTACTAATTAAACAAGAAGGCAATTAATAAATTACCTGTGCAAAGATATACTTTGAGGAAATTACAAAGTTTAATAATTTATTTTGTACTTTAAGAGGATGTTTATTGATTTTTAGATAGTTTTTTTTCTCAAAGACCTAGACACTGATGGGGCATGGAGCATGAACGTGTTTGCCCCGGGTTCTGGCCCACACAGTAGGTTCTGACGATGACCCAGATCTGGTGGGGAAGCCAGAAGCTCTGGAGCCAAAGCACTGCTCTGTCACCTGCCAATCAATGGCCCAATGACACTGCATTGGGACCTAGAGCTACCTCAGCGTCCTGTGGGGAGTGTGTGGAGCACCTGGAAGTCTCATATAGTCCTTTCCTACTTGACATGACTCCTTCCCCTCCCCCACAGTCTCTGCTCAGCCGAGGCCTGGACAGTGCGGGCACCTTTTCTCGGTCCTCCATCCACAACATGCTTCTCCTCTGCAGTAGCTTCGGGGAAGTCTGTTGGAAATTTGTTAAGTGACCCATTTAATATTCCAGATGAGCAGACTGATACTAGTTTTCATCCTCAAAACTCCCATCTGTCAGGGTCCAGGAATGCCCACAGGGGTCGGTGACTGGCACCAGCTTCCACGGGTTGTGCAGGAGCCATGTTTGTCATTAGAACTGCATCTCAGCCTACAGTCAGATGAGGACAGATGATGCCCATGGAGCCTTCTCCATTCAACACCTTAACTTCCAGGAAAACCACAAGTGTGCACCTGCAGGCAGAGTGCCCCTGGGCACACTCCCACAGTCTCACTGTTCCCGCCCTTCCCAGTGGCTCCCATTTCCTCAGGTCAAGGGCAGGTGATCATATCACCCCTCCAGTCTCACTGGTCATGGACTCACCCTGGCCAACAGACCGTCAGCAGACAGGAGCTGAGGCTGAGCCCTGTGTCTGCTGCTGCCCGCTTTTCCCCAGGGACCATGGAGTATGAATGGATGCTTTTTTTTTTTTTTTTTAATATTCCTGTTATAATTATAATGTTAATAGAAAGATAGGATATATTCACACATCCTATTATCTTTCTGTTAACACAGATCCAGAGAGGTTATATATCCCCTGAATATGTATATGAAGATTATGAATAAATATAATGTCTGTCAGCACACAGAAACTCCATGAGACTGGTGGGGACTTCCACAGACAAGCCCCCAGCAATGCCACCGAGTTCACAGTTTATGTTACAAACACCAGGAAACAGGACGTACAGCTGTGTCAGTTTCTGGTGGTTGCTGTGACAAATTTCCACAAACGTTGTGATTTTGTGAAAATGTATCACCTTAGTTCTGGAGGTCAGAGGTCTATAATGAGTCTGGGACTATGTGCCATCAGAAGGCTCTTGGGAGAATCTCCTGGTATGCCTTTCCCTTGTCTAAAGGTTACCCACTCTTCTTGGCTATGGGTCCTTCCTCTCTCACCAAAGCCACAGAACAGCATATTCTCTCTCCTCTGACACTTTTTTCTGAAGTAAAGAATTAGATCATTACTGTCCATTCTTACATCTTCGCTTTGAAGAAATCATTTAACTTCTTGGAATTTTGGTTCTGTCTTCAGAATAGATACAAACCACTGAATGCCTACCTTACAAAGGCACATGGAGGCATATTGCAAAATATAATGCTCTTCAAATACAAAGAGGCATTGATCATAGTGGTAGAAGGCAAGCCAAGCTCCAAGAAACTTGTGACAAGAAAGATTGCTCAAGGAGGCTGAGGAAAATGTCACCAGGTTCCTGTCGAGCCTTGAGGGCTTGGATGCTCCAGGGGAAGCCTGGAAGGTGGGAGCAGAGATACTGTTAAGGCTGGAGGTGAAGTTCATGAGCTCAAAGTAGGGGACAGGTCACAGCCAAGTGCAGTGGACAGTCATCAGACAGGATCAAGCCAAACCATGTCTGGTCACCAAGGCCAGAGAGAGGCACCAGAGTGAGACTGTGGGAAACCCAAGTTAACAGAGCATGTCCTCGGGTAGCAGGTTGTGAGGTGAAATGTGATCTTGAGGCTCGGGGAGAATGGGCCATGGCTTATTGGTCATTTGCAGCCATTGCTCACTGGTTGCCAGAGAAGGAAGCAGGGCTGAGGTTCCATAGTGAGGTGTCCTCCTTGGAGAGAACCCTGAAATCCAAGGCTACTGGTTAGGAAGGAACAACAAACAAAAATGTAAATATAATTGCAATAAAATCTTACAGACCTGAGGAACCTAAGCCAGAAAATAGCAATTAACATTCTTCATCTGATACCAAAATAGTTAGAAAGTTCTTGTGTTGCTCAGTGCCGTTGACATCTGCCATTCTTTAGAAAAGGCAAACCCCCTTTTAACAGTGATAATGACAGTTTCTTCAGGAAGCAAATGAGTTATTTTATACTTTTGTTAATTACAGAGACTGAAACATAAATTCTTCGGCTTATTCCCCACATGTAGATGAAGCCTTCTCTATGAACAACTATAAGGAAATACCACATCCTCAGAGACAAGAGTTTACAGCTTTATGAAAGAGAAGATTTAAACATGTTTACAAGGTCTGACTTTACAGTAATTACTACCATGCACATGTGTTAGGCTACTTCCTATTCTAACGTGAAATCCCCAATGCATTGCTTGGTAAACCATGGTGTTCACTCAGAGTAAGTTTGCATATAGAATCATGGCCCGGAAGCAATTAGTCTTTAGTTCAACTGAAAATCTGGTAATCAACCATAAGGTGAAATTTGGGTTGCTTTCCCCAGTTATGGCTGATTTATTTTTGGTGTGGGTCCTCTAAGAATAATGGTGGTATTTTCATGAGTTTTTTGTTTTTATTTTTATAACTGAAATCACGAAGTTGGTTTAAAGTGGTGACTCAGGGCCCAAACCCAAGCCTGTGGAATTCTGAGCCCTTATTTCACTTGGTTCAGCCAAAGACTTTGCTCTGAGGAAGGTAAGAGCCAGGCTACTAATGTACTAGAGGGGAGCTCTGGTATGGAGTACAGTTCCCATTAAACCCTGGGAGAGAATGTGTGTGTGAGTGTGACATGCATGTGCAGCAGCAGGACACAGATGCTCTGGGAGGGGCGGGGGACTGCGAGGGTCACAGAGGCTCAGCCCTCATGCACCAGAGGTTTGGGGGACACAGCAGCTCTGCTCTCGGAGACTGTGGCAGCTGCTCTGGGAGAGAACTCAGTCGTTTAACCCTCACCCCGCTGGGTTTCACTTCTAACCACAGCTCTGAGATACGTTTGCTTTTCTCACTCTGCCAACAGCCTGCTAGTAGACACTTGGTTTAATAGATGTCATCAGATGCCTCACCTGCATGGTGTGAACCCTGCTCCTGCAAACCACGTTTAATTTTGCACGGGCCTCATCCCTTGTCCCTCGGGCTTGGCATTTGTGATCCATCTACTGACATGAGACTGTAATTCTGGGTTTCTGTCACTGGTGAGAGCTCGAATAAGCTCTTATGAATCTAAAAGCCTTCCTGTCACACCAGGTAGGCGGGCTCTCCTTTGTTCACAGGCGACTCAGACAGAATATTTACCGAGCAGATGCGTGTCCCTCCCTCCCTCAGGAGGACAGCACCGCTCGCTAGGGTCCCTGGTACAACAGTAAGCATCAGGCTGGAATCCCATTTCTGCATCTCACGGAGCCACATGAACTCCCTGGCCCTTCTGGTGCGACATGTGGCATATGTCTGACTTTCTGTGGACAAAGGCATGTTCTCAGAAAGTGTGGCTGGACTTCCCGCTGCACAGGGGTGAAGGCCCATCACCAGAGCAGGTCAGACTCATCACAAAGGTCATTGCTGGTCTCTAGTCCTCATGGAACCTGGAGATGAAGGTCTTCTCGTGTGTGCGGGTAAGAGAGCTGTTACCCCCTCCAGCGGATGTGGGTGAGGGCACAGGCTCAGTGGGGTGCAGTCCGGGAGGGCACAGTGCTATCATCTGGCTGGCCATCGGCTGGGGTCCTCAGTGGCAAAGGCTGCTGGGGTTCCTGCTTTGCTTTCCCCACAGAGGGAGTTGCAGCCCCGGGGCCCCCCTGGCCGCGGTCCAGCATACAGAGTAGTTTTAGATTTACAGACAGTTGTGAAGATAGCACAGAGATTTCATATACCCTGCATCCAGGTTCTTCTGTGATTAACATCCTATATTCGTAAGGTTTATCTGTCACCACTGATCACGATGGCGGCAAGTCTAAGGTGAGCAGTCTGGGAAACCCAGGATGTAGTGGCCTCCCTATGGGTTCGAGGGTTGCAGCTCTTTGTGACATGGAGCAGGTGCTGGCTTATATTTTAAAGTGAGCCAGGGATCAAGAGAAAATGGCTCCAGAGGCTGCGATGGAGAACTAGTGTCAAAGTAGCTCAGGGTGGACCATTATCCTCAGATTTGGAGAAGTCACAGGCACATTTGTAGATAGCATCTTGCCTTGTATGCTTGAGTGTTTGGACTTAAAGTTCCTTAGCATGTTGACTTGGCATTGACTTCATTTCCTGAGTGTTTGGAAACTACATTGTTACATGTTGGATGACCAACGGAATCCTTTCAAAGAAAATGACCCGCTAGGCTAGGGTATCTTTTCATGAGGAATTATACCTTCTGTCTTATAAATGCAAATATCTTAAATGACAGGTCTCATGGTTGCAAATTGTAGGTCTTATGCATCCTCTCAGGGGGAAAAATGTGCTCTAGGAATTTAAAACTTTACAAGCTAACTTTAAAATGGGTTGGCAGCTGACATATAATCTTAACACAGCTTTAATCAGAAAAATATGTTCTACAAATTGGCAGGGAAACCAGCAGTGAATGAGTGATGGCACAGCCACCTTGTGGTCTCAGGTGTTCTGGGGACTGTTGCCTTTGCTGGGATGGAGGTTTCTATGCTTTTGTGCATGTTTTTGTTCACACAACACAGGTTTAGGTTAGTCATACCTCTGACTCAGGAGACTCTCCCCTTCCTGGAAGTGAGTTCACCTTCAGTAATTCTGTACTTCCCAAAGCCACAATTTCACAACCGGCACCGTGTCCAGTTTTAGGTCTGCAGAGACGGGCTGTATGCACTCTTAAACCCAGAAAAGGAGGCCCGGAGTTCAGAGTTTGCTCAGAGTTCCAGAACCAACTCCATAGAAAAGGGAAGTGTGGGTCCAGTGCCTGGCTCTTCGGCCAGTAGTTTTGTGGTTTTTGTTGTTCTTGTTCAGTTCATAAGGTAGACATGAGTCCACTGTGTGCACTGATCCCCTAGGTTACTCCACCACGTGGGGCACTGATGCAAAGTGATGACTCAAGAGATGTCCCCTGTGACTCTCTCTCCACTGACAGCTCTCCAGGACACTCTCCTGGTCGTGACTCACGGCCACTCTTCTCGTGGACCACGTGCCATCCTGGACCTATCCTGATGGTTAAACATTTCATGCACTCACAGAATCCTGGTCCCCTGACTTACTTCCAATATGTGTAAAATCTAATTATTTAATGAAATTAAATGTTGAAAATATAAGTTAAATACTCTCTTGGGATGGTCAGGGTTTTTTTTAAACAAAGTCCTCATAGCCTTGAGAAGACCATATAATCCCATCTGCTTTCTCAGGGAGGGGTGTTTGTACCAACAATCCCTAATAACTAAATGGAAGTCAGACAATGCAGGCATATTCTTAGTAATTCATAAATGATGAATTTCCCTGGGAAATCCTGGAGCTTTGGCCCAGGGTCTGCATCAGGAGATCTCATTTATGTGGAGAAACATGATAATAGAGCAGAAAGAACCAGTTCATTCTGGAAATGAGTGTTCTTCATACAAAACTCTTAATGGTGAGAATTAGAATTTATATATATTATAGAAAGGCATATAACTTAAAGGAACTTGTCACCTCTAAGTTAAATACTCTATGAAGTCTGCTTAAAAAAAAAAAGAAAAGAAAATTCAACCAAGTAAACTTGAAAATCTAATTGGCTTTACTAAATGCTTCATGAATCAGGCAGTTTCCCATTTGACAACCAGGTCACTCCAAAGACTGTGACAAAGATGTTAAAAGGGTGAATTTTTTCAGACAATGTGACCTTCACTTAGGGGAAGTCAGGGGTCTTATCACACAAATTAGTTTCCTAGTGCTGACCAGGAATTCCTAACTGGTGAGAAAAGAGTGAAGATGTGAAGTATGTAAAATAGAGTCACTTTAACCAAGCTGCTGGAATTAACATTAGGAGGGTGGAGACACAAGGAACGACCCTGGGAAGCTAAGCTTTTGGAGGTTTCTGGTCCTGTGTCAGTGCCTGAATGTTCACCTGGATGTGGGTCAGATTTCCAGATAACCTCGGCTCAGCCTGAAGGATCCAGACCATGTGAAGCCACTCGATAGCCATCACCCCAACTACAGGATGTGACGAGATACCCTGGCATCTGTCATCAGCCCCTTAACATCTGACTGATGAGCCTCCTGGACCAGGGCTAGTGCTGAAAAAGCAGGACTTTGAACTATAAGAACTCTTAAATTTTCCATCTTTTAAGAACACTTCTAGGTTTTTGTCCAGCTTTGTTCCCAGTTCGCAAATTCTAAGACTCTTGAATAAATCTTTAACATGTATTCATAGCACAGACTCTTTGAATTAGTTCAACGTTGGTTTAAAATTACATTCCTGGGAGAGGCTGAAACTGCAATTAGTTTAGTTATTATTCTTGGTGGGACTTAACAAAAGTGACTCCATTTTGGGTCTGTTGTTTCTTTAACATGTCAAACCAAAAAATTTACCTCACAGCTGCAAAGTGCTGAAGCCTAAAGCTGTCAGAGTCCATGACATATTTTGAGGATTTATTTGAAGTTACTAAATATGTTTCTTAAGGTTTTCAGCCTCTCACATGTCCACTGCATATATGTTTTTAATTACAGGAATATTTGAGAATCTCACTGATGTTACAGAATGTATTGCAGGAATGTAAAGATGAATGAAATGGATAAACGATTAAATTGAGCATGTATATTTCTGCCAATTGGATATCAGTTTCAACACTCATTAGGGTGAGAAGAGCTAAATTCAGAGAAAGACATTTCAGAGTTTTGATAAACTCTTCAATGCAAATTGCTCTGTAATGCTACATTAGCCCAGAAGAATACTTTATTGCTATTACCAGTTCTGATAAAAATTGCTGCAGGGGCAGTGACTCCTTCTGCCTTTAGCTTCACAGGTTTGATTCTTGGAAAAAGTCAGTAGGAGTTACACCCACGTCCCTGCAGACACTGTTTCCTGGGGCTGTGATGCTCCCCAGGATGTGAGGCAATTCTAGGAAGAGCCGCTGGCCTCTGAGAAGATGCCCCACGGACAGCATGGCTCAGAGGCCGACCACGGTAAGTGATCACAGGATAAAAAGGGTTTGGCCACAGGCCCTACAAAGTGTAAAGAGGAGTGTTTACTGAAGTTAGAAAAAAAAATCTCTTTTGGAGAATTGGCAATTTTCGTATGAAGTGGAGTATGACATCAGAATGAGTCACTTTCTGTGAGCACCTGACCTCCGCCCTGTTGGGCAATATCCCTGACTGCACTGTGAGCAAGAAGCCCGGCACACACTTAAACTCTCTTATTTTGTTTTGAACAGGAATATATAATTTATCAAGTGTCAAGGTCGACAGCTCCCTTTGAAGAATGTCCCGGAACTTTCTTGCTGTTTTGAACCATGAATGTAACGGGACACCCCGGGATTGGGCAACAGGAGAGGAGGAGGCGTTCTGATGAAGACGCTCCAAACCAAGGCTGAGCTGTGTGGACCTAAGGCTCCTGCATGATGACAAAAATAAGATTT